CGGGACCCCCGGGGACCCCCCGAGCCCTCCCGGCGCTCCCCGGGCCCCCCCCCCGCTCACCCTCTGCATCTCCGGGCGGGGCCCGATGGCGGCGGCGGAAGGGGCCGGGCTGGGGGTGGCACCGGGACACGGGGGGCACCGGGAGGGGGTGTGGGGTACCGCGGACCCAGCCCCCGCACCCACGGGCCGGGGGATCCCCGCGTGGTTTGGGGGGCTCTGCCGGGGCGATGGCGGCCGCGATCGCCCACCCCGGCAGCATCGGCCACCCCCCAAGCGGGGCTGCTCGGGGACACCCCCCCTGCTCTCCAAGACCACCTTCCACCCCCCCAAATCCCGAGAAACCAACCCGGCTACTCCGGGCGTCTGGGAGCCCCCGCACCGGAGGGTCCCACACTGGAGGGTCCCACACTGGAGGGTCCCACACTGGAGGGTCCCACACCAGGGCAGGAACAACCAAAGCCACCGCGGGTCCTGCCCCTGCAGCCCGTGTGCCCGATCCTCCCAGAACCCACCCGGGGTGACTCCCAGTGCCCCCAGCCGGGACAGGGGGTGTCTGTGTCCCAGCGTGTCCCCTCAGTGAGAGCCCTCTGGTCCGTCCCCAGGAGCACGGGGGGGTTCAGTGCCACCCCAGCGGATGTGACGGTGACCCCGGGGTGGGCTGGGTGGCCACGCTGGTCCTGAGCTCCCACCTGGTGTCCAAGGGAGGTTTGGTGGCCACAGGGCGCGCTGGAGGGTCCCGGCACTGTCACTGTCCCGGTGGCCCCTTGGTCACGGTGACGGTCCGGGGGCTGCAGCTGGCACAGCCTTTGCCGGGACTCAGGCTGGGATTGAGGCTCCAGGGAGACCCCCGTGTCCCCCCATTCCTGGACAGAGCACCCAGAGCTGCTGGAGCCATCAGAAGCTTTTATTTTAAATAACCTCAAAAAATAGAATTGCAGAGAGCAGAGCTGGGGGAAGAAGAGGGCTGGGGCGGGACCCCGTGCCCGGCTGGGGCTCCAGTGGTGGCTGCCCCACATCGGTCCCCTCAGAAGATCCTATTCCCTTTGGGATGAAGCAATGGCAGGTCCCGGTGCCCGTGGCCAAAGCTCTGCCCGAGGCTGCAGCCCCCTGGCCACTGGCTCTGTCACACCAGGGGGGACACAGAGATGCCAAGCAAAGCCCAACAAGCATCCCATGCCCCTCACGCCCCTGGAAGCCCCCCCAGCCCCCACCAATATCAAGTCCCAAAGCACAGTTATCCAGAGCAAGCAGAAGCACAAGCTGCCCCCCCCGCCCCCCCTGGACCAGAGGCATCTCCAGGTCCCTTCTGGAAGCAGAGCTGACCCTTTCCAGGCCATTTTCCTGGCTGTTTTCCCAGTGCTCTCCCAGCTCCTCTGTGTGGAGCCAGACTGGGGATCCCAGGTCATCCAACAGGAGAAAGGGCCTCAAGACTCCTGCAGTGGCAGGGCTTGGCTCTTCCATCCCAACCATGTCCTTGTGGAATGTCATCCAGTCTGGAACAGCCTGGAAGGTTCTGGAAGCAGCTGGAGCCCTCTCACCCCATGGCTGCCTCCAGTGGATGCAACTTTTAAGCCACTGGATCCAGCTCTTCCCAGTCTGTGTGGCCGGAGCCAGTGTGGCAGATCCAGGTCCAGTGGCACCTCCTCCAGTCCTTTGGTGTCTTCCCGAGCCAGCAATGGCCCATGTCCCAGTCTGGCTCTGGTTTGCCCCATCCAACCCCCCCGAGGCTCCTCCAAGTCCCAGCGTCACGTCCAGCCAGAGGGATCACCCTGGCTCTGACCCCTCGGCTCCGACCCCTCAGCTCCATCCTTGTCAGGGTGAGTGTGGGAGCTGAGGGCCGGCCCTTGCCCGTGGGGGTCTTGGTGGGGGTCCCAGTGCAGGGGAGTCCCAGACAGCCAGGGCAGGTCCCAGTGCAGGTCCTGCTGTGGGTCACAGGCGGCCTGGACAGGTCTCAGTGAGGGTCCCAGTGCGGGGGCAGGGGTGGGGGTCCTGGCAGGGGCCCCAGCGTGGATCCTGGTGCACATCCCCGTGAGGGTCCCGGGGGGTTACAGACAGCCGGGACACGGGGCTGGTTTTTCCTCGATGTGCTCCTGCTCCGGCGCTCCCGGCGTTCCCGGCATTCCCGGCACGTGCTTCTCCTCGAAGGCCCGTGCGCAGCCCCCGGCCTTGGCCCAGAGCTGCCCCCGGGGGGGCTCGGGGGGGCGGGGGGCCAGGCAGGCAGCACAGCAGCACGGGGGGGGCAGCCCCGGCGCCCTGGGGCCCGGACCCTCCCCCGGGCACTTGCACGGGGGCACCGGGGGGGCTCCGGGGCCCGGGGGGTGCTCGTCCTGCATGAGCTGCAGGAGGATGTCGGCGGCGCCCGAGGGGCTGTCGGGCCGGGCCGGGGGGGCCCCGCGGGAGCAGGGGGGCAGCAGCAGGGCCGGGGGCTCCGGGCCCTTGCCCAGGGGGTCCCCGGCGGAGCAGGCGGGCGCGAGGCCGGCGCCGTGGGTGCGTCGGTGCCGCAGCAGATGGGCCTTCTGGCTGAAGCCCTTGCCGCAGTCGGCGCAGCGGAACGGGCGCTCCCCCGTGTGCGTGCGCAGGTGCACGGCCAGGTTCACCTTCTGCCGGAACCGCTTCCCGCACTCGGCACACGCGTGCGGCCGCTCGGCGCAGCCGTGGGGGCACTCGGGGCACGGCTGGGGCTGCTCGGCGCAGGGCAGCGGCTGCTCGCAGGGGTGGGCGCGCTCGGCACAGGCGTGGGGGCACTCGCCGCAGGCGCGGGGCTGCTCCACGCAGGCGTGGGGGTGCTCGGCGCAGCCGTGGGGCTGCTTGGTGCAGGCGTGGGGCCGCTCGGCGCAGGCGTGGGGACACCCGGCACAGGGGTGCAGCTGCTCGGCACAGCCGTGGGGCCGCTCGCAGGCGTGGGGCTGCTCGGCACAGGCGTGGGGCCGCTCGCAGACGTGGGGCCGCTCGCAGACGTGGGGCCGCTCGCAGGCGTGGGGCTGCTCGCCGCAGGGCCGGGGCTGCTCGAGGCAGGGGTGCAGCCGCTTGGCGCAGGGGCACTTGGCGCAGGCGTGCAGCTGCTCGGCACAGGCGCGGTGCTGCTCCGTGCAGGGGCGATGGTGCTCGGCGCAGGGCCGGCGCTGCTCGGGGCAGGAGTGGGGCCGCCCGCGCGGGTTCGCCGGCGGCCCCCCGTGCTCGCCGCAGGCCTCCCCGCAGGGCCCGCAGGGGAAGGGGGCCCCGGCGGGGTCGGCGGCGCCGGGGGCCGTGCCGGGGGGCCCCGCGTGCACCCGCTGGTGCACCCGCAGGGACAGTTTGCTCTTGAAGCGCTTGGGGCACTCGAGGCAGGTGAAGGGCTGGCGGCCCAGGTGGGTCTTCTGGTGGGCCAGCAGGTTGGGCTTCTGCGCGAAGCGCTTCCCGCACTGGGCGCAGGCGAAGGGCCGCTCGCCCGTGTGCACCCGGTAGTGCGTCACCAGGTTGCCCTTCTGGTTGAAGCGGCGGCCGCAGACGCCGCAGGTGAAGGGCCGCTCACCTGTGTGGATGCGCTGGTGTGTGGCCAGGTTGGTTTTGAGGCTGAAGCGCTTCCCGCAGGTGTCGCAGCGGAAGGGGCCGCGCCCGCCGGCGCCGTGCCCGTGCCGCAGCAGCCGCTCGCACTGCGCCAGGCTGCGCCCGCACTCGGGGCACGGCCAGGGCCGGGCCTCGCCCGCCCGCGCCGGGGGGGACCCGGGGGGCAGCTCCGCACCGGGACCGGGCTCGGGGGGGGCCCCGGGGCACGGCTTGTGCCCCGCGTGGCTCTTCTGGTGGGCGACGAGGGCGAGCCAGAGCCCGAAGCTGTTCCCGCACTGGTTGCAGATGAAGGGCTTCTCGGGGGGGGCCGTGGCGTCCCCCAGCCCCGGCTGTGCCCCCGGGGGCCCCAGGAGGGGGGGGCCGGGGGAGAAGTTGGGGGGCGCCTCGGGGGGCCGCAGCAGGGGCACCTTGGGGCAGAAGCCGTCGCTGCAGTGGGCGCAGGGGAAGGGGGGCTCGCCCGGGGGCGGGGGGGGGAAGCCCTTCTCTTCGCAGGGGAACAGCTCGGTGCCCTCGGGGGCCTTCGGGGCGGGCGGGAGCGGGGCGAAGGGGGGGTCCTGCGGGGCGGGCGCGGGGGGCAGCAGGGCGGGCGCGGCCCCGAAGGGCGCGGCGGGGGCCGGGCCGCGCGCGAGGCAGCGGCGCTGGCGGGGGACGTGCGTCTTCTGGTGGGCCTTGAGGGACACCTTGTCCTTGAAGCACTTGTGGCACTGGGCGCAGGGGAAGGGGCGCAGGTCGGTGTGGGTGCTCTGGTGCGTGACCAGGTTGGTTTTCTGGGTGAAGCGCTTCCCGCACTGGGCGCAGGCGAAGGGCCGCTCACCTGTGTGCACCCGGTAGTGCGTCACCAGGTTGGTTTTCTGGTTGAAGCTGCGGCCGCACAGGAAGCAGGAGAAGGGCCGCTCGCCCGTGTGGATGCGCCGGTGCGTGATCAGGTTGGGCTTCTGCCGGAAGCTCTTCCCGCACTCGGGGCACACGAAGGGCGTGTCCTCGGCGCAGCCCCGCGCCGGCCGCGCCCGCGCCTTGCCCTCCTCGGGGTGGGCGCCGTGGATGCGCTGGTGGGCCAGCAGGTTGGCCTTCTGCGAGAAGCTCTTGCCGCACTGGGCGCAGGGGAAGGGCCGCTCGCCCGTGTGCACCCGCCGGTGCGTGAGCAGGTTGGGCCGCTGGCTGAAGCTCTTCCCGCAGTCCCCGCACCGGAACGGCTTCTCCCCGGTGTGGATCCGCTCGTGCGTCACCAGGCTCTGCTTCTGCCGGAAGCCCTTCCCGCACTGGCCGCAGCGGAAGGGGCCGGGGACGCCCCCCTGGGCCCCCCAGCAGCCGGCGCGGGGGGCCGGGGGGTCCCGGGGGGGCTCGGGGCCACGCTGCCCGCCGGGGAACCAGCGGCCGGAGCTGCTGCCGGCGGCCGGGAACAGCTCCAGGGAGCCGGCGCCGATCCCGGGCTTCTCCTCGGGCTCCACCTTGCTCACCCGCCCGGGCTCCACTGCACCGGAGACATCCCGGAGTCAGCCCGGCCCTCGGGGAATTCCAGCCTGTCCCTGGATCCAGCCCCTCCCGCTCCATGTGGGACCCCCAACATGGAATCACCGTGGTCTGTGGCCCCCCAAACAGCCTCCAAACCCCCCCTCGAAGCTCCCAGTTTGTGACACCTCAAAGTGACCCCAAAAACCCACTGCACTCCCCAGTTTGTGACACCCCCCCAACCTCCTGCACCCCTCGGCCTTGCCTGCAGTGGTGCTGGGCCGGTGCCAGCAAAAAACTGCCACTACCTGGCCCAGACTGGTCAAAACTGACCCTAAATTACCATAAACTGGCCACAACCTGGTTCGGAATGGCCTAGAAAGGGGGCAAACTGCCCCAGGATGACAAAAACTGGCCCAAAACTGCCCAAACCAGCCCAGAATGGCCAAAACTGGTTGAGAATGGACATAAACTGGTCCAAACCGGCAAACACTGGTCCACAAAACTGGCCAAAACTGGCCTAGAATGGCCATAAATTGGTCATAAATGGCTGCAAACGGGTCCAGAATGGCCACCAAATGGCTCCAAAATGGCTGAAAACTGGCCCAAAATGGACATAAACCAGCCCCACACCGGCTCCAAACTGACCCAGAATAGCCCCAAACTGCCTTACACTGGCTCAGAACGGCCCCCCACTGGCCCCAAAGCGTCTCTGAAGGTCCCAAATGTCCTCACACGGTCCCAGCCCGTCCCTTCCCCCCAGTCCCAGCGCTCCCCCGTTCCCGAGGATCCAGACTCACCGGCGCAGGGGCTGCCCAGGGCCTTGGAGTCCTCCGGGCCCGTCCGCGCGGCTCCGAACGGCTCCTCCGGCGGCTTCATCCCAAACAAACCCACCGGCTTGAAGAACCGGTACCCTGGGGGGACACGGCTGTCACTGGGAGAGCCACAGTTTGGGACCAGGGGACTGTCACCCAGAGAGTCGGGATCAGGGGTGGAGCTGCCACTGGGAGAACTGGGAAGGTGGGATTGAGCCGCTCCTGGGAGAACTGGGCTCTGGGAATGGGGGATGGAGCCGCTCCTGGAGAACCGGGTTCCAAGTGAGGTGGGATGGAGCCATTCCTGGGCTCTGGTTTCTTCCCGCAGCCTCTCCCACTCCCGGGAATCCCCCGGAACACTTTCATCGTCCCAGTTCAAAGCTCCCACAAAAATGCGCCGAGCTCCGAGCGGAGAATTCCCCACCCCCCGTCCCACAGGGTCCCCTGCCCGTGCCCCCCACCCACCTGTGCAGGGATCCGACGGGATCTCGGCGCCGACAGCATCCAGCTGGGATCCGGCCCGTGGCGCCGGGCTCAGCCGGGAATACGGGAGCAGATCCAGGGCGTGGGCGGGCTGGGGAGGGGGCAGCAGCTCAGCGGCATTTGGGGGCCATTTGGGGCCCCTTTGTGTCAGTTGGGACATTTCCCTGGGCAGGGATCATCCCCTTGTTCCTGCATCCCAAATCCCAGGTCCAGGCCCCTTGCTCCAGGATGGAGCCCACGGCACTGGAGCACGTCCTGCCCGGGTAACAGGGATGTCACCCCACTCTCCCATGTCCCCTCGGGGGGTCCCAGCTCCGGGGGGGCTCATTCCCACAGGAAATCCCGGCACTGGGACCCACTGGAATTTCCCTCAGCGTAGGGAAGCTGCGGCCCCTCCGTGCCTGTGACCCCATCAGAGCAAGCAGGGCTTGGCAGAGCCCCAGAGCTGAGGGAGGAGCCCCCACAGATCCCTGTTCCCCAAACCAGATCCCTGCCCCCCCAAACCAGATCCCTGTTCCCCAAACCAGATCCCTGCCCCCCCAAAACCAGATCCCTGTTCCCCAAAACCAGATCCCTGTTCCCCAAACCAGATCCCTGCTCCCCCAGCAGATTCCTGTTCCCTCATCCCGACCCCTGCCCCTAAACCTGATTCCTCTCCCTCCAAACCAGATTCCTGCCCCCTGAGCTGGGGGCTGACCCCCCCCCCGGACCCCTCCCCCAGGATCCGCACTGGGGGAGGAACCTTCCCTGAGGAGCCGATCCTGCTTTTCCAGGGACACCGAACCCCCCAAGCCCCGACCCCCCCCGTGTCCCCCAGGATTCCCCTCATGTTCCCAAGCCCCAGAGCCTGGTGGAGGGCAGAGCTGGAGGGGGCCCCGCGCTCCGGGACTTCCCAAAGCGCCGATTTCCCGGAAAAACTCTCGGGGGGTTCCAGGGGTTGAGAAAAAAAAAGCACGGGAGGAGTCCCGGGCCCGGGAATCCCCCACAACGTCCCCCCCAAAAGTCCCGGGGTGGCGGAGCAGCGGGGGATCCCGCCGGGAATCCCCCCGTACCTGGGGCGCTCCCCCCGCGGACATCGCTCCCCCGGGGCCCCTTCCCGGCCCCTTCCCGGTTCCTTCCCGGCCTCTTCCTCAGCCTCTTCCCGGGCTCTTTCCCGGCCCCTTCCCGGCCTCTTCCCGTCCTTTTCCTGGTCTCCTTCCGCCTCCGACTCGCTCAAATGGCCGCAGCAGGGTCCTGGGAGAGCGGGAGAGCGGGAATGTGAGTGGGAATGGGAACAGGATGGGAGCGGGAGCGGGATCGGGAGCCGGGCCCGAGGAGCTCGGCAGCCCCGGAGCGGACTCGGCCTCCCCCCGCCCCTCCTCCTCCTCCTCCTCTTCCTCCTCCTCCTCCCCCCGGAATTTGGGGCGCGGAAGGGCCGAGCGGGGCCGGATCCGACTGCGAACCGAGAGAGCTCGGGAGAGCTGGGAGTTGTAGTTCGGGATGGGATGGGACGGATGGGATGGGAGACAGCGGGAGCGGCAGCCGGGAATGGCCCTGGGGCCGGGAATGGCCCCGGAGCAGGGAATGACCCCGGCACGGCAACGGCTTATCCAGCCGGGAACAGCCCCCGAGTCAGGAATTGCCCCAGGAGCCGGGAACAGCCCCGGTACAGCATCTCCTGGACAACCGGGAATAGCCCCGGGGCTGGGAATGGCCCCGATGCAGCCTCGTCCTGCCAGGAATGTCCCCGCGAGCTGGGAATGGTCCCGGCACGGCCTCGTCTGGGCAGTCAGGAATAGCCCTGGGAGGCAGGAATAGCCCCGGGACAGCCTGGCCTTGTCCAGGCGGGAATAGCCCCAGGGAATATGGAATAGCCGGGAATATGGAATCACTCGTTAACCGAGAACAGCCCCTGGAGCCGGGAGCAGATCCCGATCCCGGGCTCGGGGGGTCGCGGTTCTCCTCGGTGCCGGTCGGGGGGTCCGGGATGGCCCCCCCGCACCAGCACTCCCGGATCCCCCCCAGCAGCTCCTGCGGGAGCCTCGAACCCGCCGCTGCCCC